TCAGCCTCCATGCTCACAGCATGGAGTCTGCTTGGGATTCTCTCTCACCCTCTCTCTCTGCCCCTCCTTCACTTGCATGTGTGCATGCACACACTCTCTCTCTCTTTTTCAAAATAAATAAACTTAAAAAAAAAATAGATAATTCTACTATGTTAGCTGTTGGCAACTTCAACACTCCCCTATCAGAAATGGAGAGATCTAGCAGGCAGCCAATCAGCAAGGGCATAGTTGAACTCAACACACCATCCATCACCTAGACATAATCAACATCTATAGACTAGTTCATTCAAAAACAGAATACACATTTTTCTCAAGCTCAGATGGAACATTCACCAAGGTAGACTACATTCTAGACCATAAGACACAGCTTAACAAATTTAATAGAAATCATTTTTTAAAAAAGAAAAAAAATCATACATTTGCTCTCAGAATATAATGTAATTAAACTAGAAATCAGTAAGAGAAGGATACGTGGAAAATCCCAAAATACACAGAGAGTAAACACACTTCTAAATAACACATAGGTCAAAGAAGAAATCTCAAGAGAGCATAAAAAACACTTTTTACTAAATGAAAATGAAAACACCATCTAACAAAATTTGTGGGATGCAGGGAAAGCAGTGCTTAGAGGGAAATTTATAACACTGAATGTACATATTAGGAAAGAAGGTCAAAAATTCAATAATCTAAGTTTCCAACTCAAGAAACTAGAAAAAGAACAAATTAATCTAAAGTAAGCAAAAGAAAATAATAAAAGTTGAGCATATCAATAAAATTAAAAACAGGAAATCATCGGGGGGGGGGGGGGGGGGGGGGGAAGTATCAACAAAACCAAAGCCAGTTCTTTCAAAAGACCAATAAAATCAATAAGCCTCTAGCAAAGTTAACTAAGAAAAAAAGTTACCAATACCAGAAATGAAAGATGTATCTCACTACAGATCCTATGGACATTAAAAAGATAATGAAGAAATAATGTGGGGCGCCTGGGTGGCGCAGTCGGTTAAGCGTCCGACTTCAGCCAGGTCACGATCTCGCGGTCCGGGAGTTCGAGCCCCGCGTCAGGCTCTGGGCTGATGGCTCAGAGCCTGGAGCCTGTTTCCGATTCTGTGTCTCCCTCTCTCTCTGCCCCTCCCCCGTTCATGCTCTGTCTCTCTCTGTCCCAAAAATAAATAAACGTTGAAAAAAAAGAAATAATGTGAAAAATTCTATGCCCACATATTTGATAACCTAGATGAAATGGACAATTCCTTGAAAGACACAATTGCTAAACTCACAATCTGAATTAGAAATAGATAATCGAAATTATTAAAGAATTTAAATCAATAATAACCTTCCAAAGCAGAAAGCACAATGCGGACATGGGTTCACTGATGTATTCTACCAAACATTTAAGAAAGAAATTGTACCAATTCTCTACAATTTCTTTTAGAGGATAGATGGAGAGGGACACCTGGGTGACACAGTCAGTTAAGTATCTGACTCACAATCTAGGTTCAGGTCATGATCTCACAGTTCGTGAGTTCGAGACCCACAATGGGCTCTGTGCTGATGGAGTGGAGCCTGCTTGGTATTCTGTCTCTCCTTCTCTCTGCCCCTCCTCCCTTGTGTGCACTCTCTCCCTCAAAATAAATAAATAAAATCAAAAAAAATAGAGGACAGAAGCAGAGAGAATTCTACCTATTTCATTCTGTGAGGCCAGCATTATCCTAATACCAAAACCAAGACAATATTATAAAACAAAAAATACAGACCAATATCCCTCATGAGCAGATGCAAAACCCACAAAAAAATTAGTAAATTGAAACCAACAATGTATAAAAAGTATTCTGCACCACAACCAAATGGGATATATCTCAAGTATGCAAGACTATTTCAACACTCAAAAATTAATTAACATAATCTAATTAAAATCATTCAATGCAATCCATCACATCAACAGGCTTTTTGAAAAAGCAAAATCACATGATCCTATCAACAAATGCAGAATATGCATCTGACTAAATATAACACTAAATATAACACATTTTTTAATTAATGATAAAAAAAGCTCTCAGTAGAACGGAACTTTCTTGATAGAGTATCTACAAAAAACCTACAGCTAATGTCATACTTAAATAGTGAGAAATGACAAGCTTTCCCACCAAGGTCAGGTACTGGCACAGATGTCCTCTTTTACCATTCCTTTTCAACACTATTTTATCCTTCCTTTTCAAAACTATGCTGCAAGTTCTAGCTAATGCAGTAAGACAAGAAAAGGAAATAAATGGAATGCAGATTTGGAAGAGAAAAATAAAACCGTATTTGTTCAAGAGTTTCAAAGTTGGGGGCACCTGGATGGCTCAGTCAATGAAGCCATTTCGGCTCAGGTCACCATCTCACCATTCATGGGTTTGAGCCCTGTGTCAGGCTGTGTGCTAATGGTGTGGAGCCTGCTTGGGATTCTCTCTTCCTCTCTCTCTCTCTGCCCCTCCCCTGCTCATGAATGCACGCACACTCCCTCTCTCTCTCTCAGAATAAATAAACTTTGAAGGTAAAATTCTATAGAAAAAAGGAGTTTCCAGGTTGGTGAACACATGGATGTGCTGGGAGAGTACCACACTCTGAGAAGACATGGAAGCTTCCTGCCATTTCCCCATGCCTTGCCCTATGCAGCATTTCCTTTAGCTGTCCTAAGTTATATCCTTTTATAATAAACTAATAATCTATTAAGTAAAAAAAAAAAAAAAAAAAAAAAAAAATACTATTTGCTACATGATAGTCTATGTGGAAAATTCTAAAAAATGAACAAAAAAACTCCTGGAACTTCATAAGTGATTATAGCAAGGTGGTAGGATACAAGGTTAATATATAAAAGTTAATTTCTTTCCTACATACCAGCAATAAACAAATGAAATTTGAAGTTAAAAATAGACTATCATTTACATAAGTACCCATACAATGAAATACTTAATCTAATAAAATAAATCAAACAAAAATATTTCCAAGATCTATATGAAGTACACTACAAAACTCTCATGAACAAAATCAAAGAACTAAATAATTTTTGTATGTTAAGTAGGCTCCACACCCAATATAGGGCTCAAACTCACAACCCTGAGATCAACAGTCATATGCTCTATCAACTGAGCCAGCCAGACACCTCTCAAAGAACTAAATAAATGGAGAGATATCCCATGAAAGACTCAATATTGTCAAAATGCCAGTTCTTTCCAACTTAATCTATAAATTCATTGCAATCTCAATCAAAATCCCAGCAAGTTAGGGGTGCCTGAGTGGTTCAGCCAGTTAAGTGTCTGACTCTTGATTTCGGTTCAGGTTGTGATCTCACCGTTCGAGGGTTAGAGCCCTAGTCAGGCTCTGTGCTGACAGCACGAAGCCTGCTTGGATTCTTTCTCTCTCCTCTCTCTGCCCCTACCCTCACCCCCACTCCAAAATAAATTTAAAAAAATTTTTTTAATCCCGGAATGCCGGGGCGCCTGGGTAGGTCAGTCGGTTAAGCATCCGACTTCAGCT